ATTACTGAATAACTTTGTCTTTGTGTTTGGGGTCTTAAGACATTCAATGAAGAAATGTTCTTAGTTTTCAATTTTGTTTTGGCAACATTGCTAACAGATTCTGTTTTCTGAGGGTGTCTTGGGTTAGGGATGTCTACCCTTTTTGATTTCTAACATATATATACGTTTATATACGTTCTTAGTTTTTTTTATTATTTGTTACACTCAACTTCCAGAACTCTGCATACCTTTGCCGGATATTGTTTCGCATGTGTTTTATTTTACTGTGTGGTAAATTGTGAGGTGTGATAGGCAAAGACAAATTTACAGTATTTTCAGAGACCATATCTGATGTTTTTGAGTTTTATAGTTATTTTTGGCTTGTTTTGTAATATTATTGTCAATGTAGGTCACTAATACTAGAAATTCTAGTTGTATTTTACTCACTGATAAAAACAAGATGAGACGAATATTTAAAGACAAATTATGTGCAATACTACATTTATTATCGTAAAAACTCATTCAAATTCAATTCAACTGCCTAATTCTTCAGCAGATTTTTGTAATTTATTGACCTCCAAAATTTTGACCTCACCAGAAATTGCTCACTTATTTTCACTCCAAAAATTTTTTTAGAGACGTGACTTTCTGTAAGTATTCTATTTCTGCAACTGTATATAACCCAACTTTTATATTTGTTGATTTTTTAATCTAAAAAATTGTACTGGCTGAAAATTTATCGTTATTTTGTATTCTAAAAACCCGACCGTTTTTAAAAATAAATTATTTAAAAGTGGACAAAATTTTAGAGTTTTTACGATATCTGATTTGTTTTTTTTTGTACATGTATGAATGATAGGGAAGTGGGCAGTACTTCTATCGTGTCTTATTTTAATGAAAGTCGGGGGTGTTTTTGTTAATGGGGTTCTTTCGTATGTAAGCCTCTTACCACAAGAACTGACATTTTCTGAGATAATCTTTAATAGAAGTGGTAGTATTGATTTCAGAAACAATAATCAGTTTCTTGACATTATGACCTAAGATTGTGCTGAATTACCACAAATTTGTAACTGAAATTGTTGCCACAGTCGATCACTTTTGATAAATCAGTCTTATCAGTAAAAATCCTTCTAACAATCTGAGGTTCAGGTGTTCTAGCTAATTAAAACTTCATGTTATCTACACGTTTCCTTCTTTTCTGTAAAACTGTTTGCAGCTGGTACCACAAAAAACTAATCAGGAAAGCTGCTATCTCTCTATCAATCTTTCTTACAACATTGCAATACTGTAAAATACTTTATTTTAACTGGAATTTTTTGGTGTTTCCTATGGAATTTATTTTCACTGAATTTTGACGAATTGAATGTAAAATATAGGAAAAAAAGTGTATTCGCTGGATTTTATTTTCACTGAATCATTCCTTCAGCGAAAATTAGTTCCAAGCGAAAATAAAGTATTTTACAGTATGCATAGAAATATTGACAGCAGTTTTTGTTATGACTATGCCTTCAACTGTTGGATGGTACAGGATGGCTCAAGTCCAACTTAACATACATTAAAGCGATCTTAAAGGGGAACTAAATAGAGCCTATTTTGGTGTTTGTATTTATCAAGTTATGTACCGGTATATTGATTATAAATTTGAAAAAAAAAAAAAATGATCATCTTCAGAGTTATGATGATTTAAATATGATAAACCTGCAAAGGACTTCCGTTTGCGCCTCTTGCCATAAAAAAACGCCTTCATGAGGTATAAACAGGTAAGGTAACAAAGCATGATGACGAAATAGTATCTGATTAAATATAAGCAACTTAGGGAGCCATAGTTGGCTGGACTGGTGAATTGACTTCTAGTCTAGGTTGTTTCGACTTTTACGTTAATGTTATTTACAAGCGTATCAACATACAAACCTTATGGATGTGCGATTGATCGAGACAGGCATTTTTTTTTGTCTAACTGTCTGATAAGTGCTGTTTCCAGTACTGCACTGTGCGTGCAAATTATTTCAAAGTATGGATGCTGGAGTATGCAATCTTGAGTTCATAGTTGGTGGTGGAAACATTTTCGTCCATGTATTCATGGGGCTGCACTGGCAAATCATGGGACAATTGTCACAGGAAGCAGATTTTTCACAGACTTCCGTGTAATTTGAAATAAAACTATCATTCGAACAAGGGGCATCGTTGACGATATACTCTCATCACTCACACTGCACTGATCTGAATCTTCACAGTATACCGTACTTCCCTGATCATAAGCCCGGAGGCATGAACACGTAAGGGAAAAGTAAGGGATGAGCTTATACTCGAGGACCAACTCAGAAAAGATGATTTTGTTTTGGGGTTAAACACTGTAACCATCTTGCCAACAACGAAAAATTGTCCAAAAAAATTATTCGTTCATCACGATGGGCTCAGAAAAATAATACCGGTACTTATTTTTGAAAAAAAAATGTGTCATTGATTTCCACGACACTTACAATGAAGAAACAAACATGTTCATAAAAAACACACACATTTTATTACAATACGATTTACATACCGTCTGAATTTACGGTGAAATAATGGGTAGGGTCTGTGGGGAAACAGTGGACGAAGGAATTTATCATTATCTTCGTTTTGGTATGTTTTTGATCGTACGAAAAATCTCTACGCAAAGCAATTTTCCACCATGAGGTTTTTCAGCACGATTTGACCTGAAACAACTTCATTTGACCTAACAGGTCATGACTTTCATTAACCAATCAAAATGATGTTGTAATGATGAAATTTTCTTATTATTGATGATGATTTTTTAACGCAATGCGGTAATTCAAAATGCGATCTGTAGCACTGATTGCAACGAAACACCAATGATTTTTTCTCTAAAAACTGGTGATTCGCAATTTCCGAAATATAAACGACGGTTAATAGTAACAGTGGGTAAACTGAGTGTGGAACTAGAATTTAAACACCTTTCACGTTCGCCAACATGTCACATTGTTCAAACCTTAGGCCTTTCATGATATTGATAGTCTCAAAGTAAACCATGCCCAATAACCAGGTACACGACTTAACGACAACATTTTTGGCTTTTCGAACGCTACTACTCAAAGAAATATTGATTACTCCAGTATTGCAACATCGGGGTTCATCCTGAGTAAGTGACAGAATAGAAAGGATACGAACCACGTTGTGTACGTTCGCCATGCACTCTGAAATTAATGTGAGTTACTTACTTGAAGTCATAACAAATACCGCTAACAAATATATTTTTTTTAATATTTTTAATGTTTTTGTGCCAGGCGACAGTTCTGGACATTGCGTGTCTCTGACTTTTTTTTTGTATTAAGTGCTAGTGCTGACACATAGTGCATTCTGCCACAGAAGTCATATTCATGTTTAGGACTACATGACAGAGCAGTGTGGCCATCTCTCTATCAAATGGCAATTTTAATGCACTATCCTGGCGTGAACCAGGCTCGGTCAACACCTGCGGACCTTAACCAAAGTGCATTCTTTAGTGAATGAATTCAGATTTTCATAATAATTCAGGACAACAAAACGTTTTCAGCTATGTCACCGACCTACAATTTAAAAGGCGACAGTCGTCGTGCCGCGTCCTTGTTCGATATGGGACTCATAGCGACGTATACAACGCATGTAAAATACATTGTTTATTTACATGAAATTCAAACACGCGCTGTGCGACAACCACCGCGCTTTAAAATATTGCATAACATTTCTGCCATAGAAACCTAGGATAATAGCATTTCTCAAAATTAAGGCTGGTGACCCCGAATTTTTTTTTATGTCAATATTGTTATATTCCTTGGAGTACAATTTATCGCAAAATGAATAAATTCTGAGTATTTGCATTTATGAGTAGGGGTCTACTTTGAGTAGTATCCACACTGTAAAATATTTTATTTTAGCTGGAATTAATTTTTGCTGAAAAGACAATTTGAATGTTTTGTATGGAATTTATTTTCACTGATTTTTGACAACTTGAATGTAAAATATGGGAAAAAAGGTATATTCGCTGGATTTTATTTTCACTGAAAATTAATTCCAAGCGAAAATAAAGTATTCTACAGTGTTTTCAAATTGTTGAATCCTTCATGACGACAAAGATCAAACAGTTTTAGAGTATACATGTAACTATGTTTTATACTGTAAAATACTTTATTTTAGCTGGAATTAATTTTCGCTGAAAAGACATTTTGGATGTTTAGTATGGAATTTATTTTCACTGATTTTTGACAAGTTGAATGTAAGATATAGGAAAAAAAGGTATATTCGCTGGATTTTATTTTCAATGAATCATTCCTTCAGCGAAAATAGCGAAAATAAATTCCAAGTGAAAATAAAGTATTTTACAGTAGTACATAGGTGGATGTAGATAGTGATGTGACCCACATACATGTACATGCAACTAATGTGAGAAGGCACTGATTAAACATTACAATGTCGGTTATATATCATTTAGGTCAATAGATTGTATTTCCTAAATTTGATCTCTTTTCGCATTGTATTCTTATCTTATTGACTCTTTGTGCACCATAGATAATTAAACATACAATATTCTTTCCTTGTCAATTCAGAAATTTTGACTTTTAGTAATATTAAATTAAATTGGTAAAAAATTTGTTTAAGAAATCACAGTAGATTGCTGAATTTTAAATAATGTTCTTGGCCTATAAGTTGTTCGTGTCAGTTTTGAAATCTTGTTATTGATTATACCAGTTTCTTTTATTCATATTGTCACTTTGATGACATTGCTTGGTTTAGTAAGTCAGTACTCGGTGATTGTTACTCTGTCTTGGTGATTGTTGTAAGCGCAAATTGAGGTCACTACTTTTTAAGTGTCGCCAATCACAAAAGATCAATTGTTGCATAAGACCAGGCTAGTATTGATGACAAGCTTCTACCCATCATGCATTGCTGTTTATAACAACTTAATTTATATTCTAGTGGGGTAGATTATCTAAATTAGCATATAAATTGTTAAAAGGAATGAATTTATTGAATGTGTTACACCAATGGCCAATAAACTGGACTGTGAGTGATTTACCCATTTGGGTTCTTCTTTTTATTTCGTTACTTTTAGAATAATACTCCGTTTTGAACATTTTGTTTTTTTTCTTTACTTTCCCATTGGCTACATTTCTTGATTACGAATTATTAAAAATTATGCATTTTGTCCTGTGAAAGGTAAAAAAAGTTGTTTTTAGTGTTTATATGTTATTTATTATTATATGAGTTTTTGCCCAGTGTGGAATTGTATATGACATATTTAGTCATACAAATTATACGATTTTCATTCAGAAGTGTTTATAACTCCAGTGTTTGCTGGATATTATAGAAAAACCACTTGGCAGTTTGGTTGATATAACAGGCTGACTTGTCCTGAGTTTTTTATTAAATCTTTGCATATTGATTATCTCTTTTGAATAATATTTTAATGATTATAGTATAGAATAGTAATATGACGTATTTAGTTCTACATATTTTAACTTTTTAAAAAAAATTCCTGCGTTGCATGCCTAAATAATCTTTTTAGCTAGCATGTTATTTTAGCTAATTTAACTAATCTGTAATTTAACTAGTTTAAGATTAGTTTATTTAACACTTTGAGTGCCATTGCCAACTACATGTATAAAATGATGTTGTATAGTCTGTTCCTTCCCCACATGAAAATTTGACAAAAAATTAATAAACCTTTTGATCAAAAACTATAAGTAATATCTGAAACTGTCTGTATGGTTCAAAATGATGGTGAAATTCAGCGAAAATTTTACAAAATATGAAAATATTTGCACTGAATTTCGGATGCTCAAACGGTTCAAGAAAATATTTTTTCAATGAGATTGTTGGCATTGCAGCTAAATTAAGATTCTGCAATTCATGCATTGTCACAAAAATGCTAAAATTCCATGCAGCTTATTTCAACATGTTTTATTGTACCCAGGGTATAACTATTTCTTCCAAAATATACTTGTGTTCCAACTTACCTTGGCTTCAAAAAAACCTGCTCTCAGAACATTCCGCCACATTTATAGGTAGGCGCAATATTTTTGCATGTTTTTATCATTTTGCTCTACTTATTTGGGATCAAAATGATCATACATAAAGTTTACAATTGGCTACATTTTCAAAAACTTTGAAAAAAATGTTGTAAATTAGGTTTATTTTGTTAAAGGAGACAAAAGATAGCTTTGGCTTTCAAAGAGTAACTTATCTATTCTTTCACACTCAATATTTAGAAAAGTATGTAGGTGGATAATAAGTATGTAGTCTGCTGCCAAACAACTGAATTCAATTATTCTGTTAAATTTATTGAATTATAAAATTTTATTGATATATTCCCATTTGAAATTCAGATTTCTTATAATATTTAAATTTTTATAATTGAATACAGCATTTCCTGAAATTTAAGATTTAATGAACTGTGTGCAAAAACAAATTGTGAACTAAAAGAAACTGTGAGCGGGAACAAACCCTGAATAAATTTGAATATTTTAATTCAAAGACTTCCTGATAATTAATCCCTCAGGACAACATTTTGATTGAAATTATTTTTTTCTTCTAAGTTTGAATAATAAAACAAATGAATCGAAAAATTGAACATGTGTGAGTGGAATGTACAATTGGCAGTATTTTTGATGGAGATATTGATTTGCTGGTTGCCATGACAACATTTTGCCCAAGGGTTGTATTAAATTGTATTAGTAAAGTTCTGCTTCTTTGTGCTCCCATGTTATAGTATAAGAAAAGATTTCATTTGTGCAAAAGATTCCATGGTTAAAATAAGTCTTATTTAAATGATTCAGTATCCAAAAAATGCAACTGTACATTAACATTTTCTTCTACAGGTATTTGAGATACGCTTCTAGGTAAATTTGATAGATACATTTTGTATAGGCTAGGTCAAAGGTTGAAATATATTTCATTGCAGATATACTAGTATTCATTTGTTTATAACATAAGGTCAGGATAATTAAAAAAAAAATTATTTTCAAGTAGCAACAAACGTATCAGTTTAAGATAGTATCGTTACTGCTATTATGTTGTCATGGTAATGTTATAATTGATCAAAAAATATAATATTTGTTATTTATAATCATTAGATGTTTTAACTTACATCTTGTAGAAACTATGGAAACGAAAATAGTTGAGTGCAACATAATGCAGTAATGACTTGGAAATTTCTGAACTTTTATCAAGTGCTGTGGATAAATTCATTTATCCTTATGGTTAGAATTCTACTCCAATCTGATTATTAAAAATAAGATCAGAGTGTGCTGAGTGCACCGTTGTGGTGGTGCACAATGGGCTAGCCCATTTGTGAGTTTTAAGGTGCATCGCACTGTAGTTTAGGTTGTTTAATTTTTCAAAATATTTATTAATTTTTTTTTTTTTATATATTTGTTTTATTTGAACATATTATTTATATGCTGGCTGTTTCATAAAATTGTTGGTAATTGCGAAGAACCCATGCAGCTATAGTTAAAATAATACAAAATAAGATGAACATGGTAAAAATAAATAAATTTACACTAACTAAAAAAAATACCACTGTGGTACAAATAAAAAAACACACACCATACATCAGATTGAATGTTACTCAAAATTAAAAATAGTTTTCTTTATTTTTGTTATTACATGTGGCAAATTTCATGTTATGAGGATAAGGAATATTAAATATAAATATGGAAAAGAACATATATCAATACATGTATCTCAAAATATGGATGTGTGACATATGTAGAGTGATATATAGCGTGGTACTAGTGATTAAAAATACTTATACTATATTTAGAGGACTTATAGTGAAGAATGTGTGTTTGCCATTTGTTACATATTATTTGACAGTTTCTTCTTAAAAACCAGATTACAGTGAACCAAAAAGTAATACTGTTCATAATTCTAGTAGACTGATTTTGACACAAAGTATCGTCATTGCTGTGTGCGTTAAAATATGGGCACACATCAAAATTTTACTTTAATTCATGGTTTATAGTTGGTTTGGGCATAGTTTTAAAATTATTTTGAAATACACTAAAGCTACATATAAATCACACGCTGTAAAATAAGTGGTTTATAAATACACGTACATGTATAAATATGGTACCAGTACATGTATGTCGGTCAGCCATGTGAGCTTTCATCAGATTAGTTATTTCCTATGTTTTCAATGCAGTATTACATATACACATCAATATTTGTATTGTAGTCATTTGTAATTACTTACTTACTTAAAGATGATAAATCTAATAATAATCTACTTCATATCTGAAATCAGACGATGCTTTAAGGAGAACTAAATATTAGTATACTCCCATTAAAATGATTTGTCTGTTTTACCTAGACATTTGTCTTGCAGTTTTATATCATTCTGTCTTCCACAAAATCACAAATAATAGACTAAGGCAACTGAATTCATTTTTGTACAACAAATAAGCTGAACATTGGTTTCTATGGTAAGGATATTTCCTATCCAATATTAATGTCAATATACACCATTGGTTTCTATATTCCCAATTCTTTTGTGCTGTTCAGCCAACTGGAAATTATGTCCTTAAAATAATTAAACAAATTAGGCATCAATGTTTTTGTAAGATATTTACATCAATCAAGGACTTTTGGTACACTGCTTTCGCACTGCTGTTTCAATCCTAAAATTTGTTTGAATTCAAAATTAATTATGACAATACATACTCATATTGAAACAAACAATATTATATAACAAAGGGAAAGGTCACCAGAGTTAAACTATGTTTAACTGATACATACAGAATTTTTTTTTCATTCCAGGCCTAATTCTTCTATCTGTCTTTGCTGATTTTTTGTTTTGTTTTATCTGTGTCAAAACATAACCATCATCTTTTATAATGACAATGAGCATGGTCACATCTAAGATACAAGTCCAACAAGACAAGTCTCCATATCGGGATCTTTATCTTTGATTTTGATTGTTTACTGGTGCTGATGACTGGGTCAGATGCTAGCATTATAACATTTCTAATGTCGTGCATTCTTCTTGGGTACCCTTGTCAATCATGATGGCCGAGTTTCTAAATTTTTTTTTGTTTAATTTTGTTCATAGGTACAACAGAAGCTGTACTGACCCCTTTAGAACGAGTGCAAACCATTCTTCTCGATCACCGACATACGAAGAATTTCACCAATACTGCACATGCCTTTAAAGTACTGAAACAATACGGATACATGGAATACTATCGTGGAATAACACCGATATTGGTCCGCAATGGACCAAGTAATGTGCTTTTCTTTGGCTTGCGGGGACCAATCAAGTCGACTTTACCAGAACCGAGCAGTCAAATCGGACACACAATTAACGACTTCATAAGTGGTGCTATGCTGGGTGCTTTTATAAGTACTGTTTTTTATCCTGTCAACGTTGTCAAGACTCGGATGCAGGTGCAATTAGGTGGACCACATGAAACAACGTGGCACACATTTAAGATCATCTGGCGAGAGCGTGGGTGTAGTGTTACTCGCATGTTCTATGGTGTTCAGCTCAACTTTACACGATCCCTGGTGTCGTGGGGAATTATCAATGCTTCTTATGAACTCATTAAAAAGTGTTTTTTTTCCAAATAAAACGGATCATCAATATAACTATAGTCTGGATCACAGTCCTTGGACATTCACGCACACCTGCATTCGCAAAAAAACTATTTTGCAGTCTGATTAGAATATAATGTTAGGTAGAGGTTTTTTTTTTTAATATACTGTCACAGGCTTATTTGCATTGGTGTACTGTAAAATACTTTATTTTAGCTGGAATTAATTTTCGCTGAAAAGACTTTTTGGGTGTTTTGTATGGAATTTATTTTCACTGATTTTTGAAGAGTTGAATGTAAAATATAGGAAAAACGGTATATTCGCTAGATTTTATTTTCACTGAATCATTTCTTCAGTGAAAATAGCGAAAATAAAGTATTTTACAGTACATCAAATCTAACTACATCTAACCTACATGTATTACCTATGCATGTCACATTTCAAGTTTTGGAGGATAAGCCACCATTTTAGATTGACATAGCCATTTTACGTAATGAACACGATTAAATTGGTAAATCCTGTCAGGATGGTCAGATGTAATAAGAGGTGTGTAACATGGCAGACGTATTTTAAATGAGTGGTTTGCCAACATCTGAGAAATATTAGATTATGTTTTTGTTTGATTTTTATTTCTTGAGCACTGTACGGATGAATTAGTAAAATACATTTAGTTTTTGTGTTTCACATCATATTTCAGACAAGTTTGTGCCCGGGCAAGCAATCTTTCTTTCAGTGTTTGCAAGCATTATTTTTATCAGTTCTGTACATTGTTCAGCAATCTATGGGTATGTCTTTTCTGTTATTAGTTTAATGATTATAACACACATTTATAAAAGTATTTACATTTACGTTTGACTAAAAATTTGTGAAGGTAGTTAATTAATTAACCAACTGTGTTTTTCAAAAATCATTAAAAAAGTTCATTTATTTATATCCTAACAGGTCTAGTGTATCAAATTAATACTTATTGATACACTGAAATATTCACATTAACAATTTAAGAAAAACATCTCCAACTCACTGCTGAAAAAATGTTACAAAAGTTCGTCTTCCAAAAAAAATGTCAGCTAAAAATCTGGTAGAATTTGTTTACCAGCCAAATTACTGCATATACTTTCAGGCATCATTATGAATTAAATGAATACTATATGGCTACATAAATAATATATCAATTGACTTTTTGAAGCCAGTTTGAATGTGTTATACATATTTTTGTAATTATGGTTATCAGTTTTTACTTAATAGTTCTGTAAATTTTTTGCTATTCGTTGATTCCACAGAGACAAAATTTCAAGTCACTTCGTCCACCATGTCTTTAGGACCTTAATCTTTTCAACACCAGTTCCCTCTTTTCATCACAAATTCATAAAATAGTCTTGTTTATAGTCTGCACTTTTCTTCAGAAGATTGGGACAAAAAACAGCCAAATCTTTTAATAAAAACTGGAAATCGCCTCAAATTTCCTGTTGACTCCAAAATTAGGATTCATTTCTAGAAATATTGTAGAATATAAAAAAAAAAAGTGCACAAAAAATGTGGGCGAGAAATCTGGCGATTGAAAAGGTTAATGATATGTTTACTGCTATTATTTTTCTTGACTCCTGTGCAATTAAAGCAGTTTTCAGATATCACTTAAATCCATCTCAAAAAATGTTAGATAATTAGCTGAAATTTTTCCCTCCTTTACCCTTCTCAAATATGGAATGTTATTTTCGCTAATATGTGGCAAAGTTTGTTCAACTGCATTGTACATTAAAAATAATATCATTGTGCACTTTACACTGTTTTTAGTGTTCTTCTGAAGCTATGGCATACATGTTGAATTATATTTTTTTTTTTTTGAGTTTCAATTATTCATTCAGTTTAATATCTCCTAACTTTCAAAACTGTGTGTTCATTTTAGTAGACGTCTCTGTGGTCCAAAAATTAAAATTAACAAATTATTCATGTTTTTGGTCATACATGTAGGGCCTAAATAGCCTAAAATATTCATATTTCTGAACATAATGCATGTCAGTTAAAAATATTCATGTTCTTGACAATGGTGCATGTCAGTTAACAAATTACACATGTCTGTTAAAAATATTCATGTTTCTGGTTATCCCACATTTAAAAATATGCATGTTCCTGACCA